TTATATGTATATATATATGTATGTATACATATATATGTGTATATATATATATATGTATATGTATATGTGTATATATTTGTGTATATGTATATGTGTATATATGTATGTTCTATATATATATATATATATATATATATATATATATATATATAAGTATATGTGTACACGTATACGTTGAGTACATATAATATATGGATATGTATTTGCCTTTGTGCACATATCATGTATGTATTCATGTGAATGTGTAGGCATATATGTGCATTTATATTTATGTTTGTATATATGTATGTATGTATATATTTGTGTATATGTATGTGTATATATGTATGTACATATATATCTATATATATATGTATATATATATATATATATATATATATATATATATGTGTGTGTGTGTGGGGAAATCAAGCAGGCTAGTGATTGTGAAAAAGACAATTGGACTTGTCATATTTTTAAATCGTTAATTTTCATAATCAATAAATTTTATTTTTATACAAGTGGAGTTAATACTTTCATATCCATAACTATTTCCACATTGGTGACCCACGACGTGATGAGATGATAACAAAGAAGGAGTTTTTTTTTGAGGATTTAAAAAATATAGATTTTGATGCAGCATTATAATCACTGGTCTTCAGTGACTACTTATAAGGTACGTCCAGTCCTCGGTTCATCGTAGTTAAAGCACTTACTATCTGATACCGGACTTTCGTTGGTATACCCATTTAGTATACCCAGACCGCAGTGTTTATTGCTGACACAAAAAATAATTCGGAGTCTAGACTTTTCATTGGAATGCAATTCAACCTCTTCTTGTCCGTTAACTCAACAAATCGTCTTTTGATGCATTAAACTTTGGAACTGCATCTGGTCAAAATGATGACTCTTTAATACGCTCTCCTTCGAATCACATCCGATTCGAGAATCCGATGTATGATATCAAGGACTACTGAAGTCGACAAGATTATTTTAATCATTGTGAAAATTCATATTCTTACAGAGCGCCAACTGTTTACCCAAAATATTGTAGAAAAAAAATTAATACAGTAGATCGAGGCTGAATCTTCGAAGTTCACCAAGACATCGAGGTTCAGGAAGTTCACTACATGACTTATATTCAAAACTATATGCAGAGTTTGAAGATGATGGAAGGTTGAATTATCTACCATACGGTAAATCTGCCGACGAAACTGTCATTTTTTTATAATTGACCAGTATCACAACACTGCTATAATTTGTTTTCCCACCATTTATTTATAACGTGTTTCTCTGTATTTTTTTAAACTGTGAGGTCAACACTGGGAAGGGAGCGTGTGGGGAAATCAAGCAGGCTAGTGATTGTGAAAAAAACAATTGGACTTGTCATATTTTTATATCATTAATTTTTATAATCAATAAATTTTATATATTTTTATACAAGTTGTGTTAATACTTTCATATACATACTACTTCCACACATATATATATATATATATATATATATATATATATTCTTTTTTCTTTTTTATCTATTTAATATCTAGTTTCTATTACCTTTTCTATCTTTTATATTCTGTTTGTTGTTAAGCGTTGCTGTTCTGTTAATTTTTCTCCTATATTTACAGTTTCTACACCAATCCATATATTTTATAATTACCTAGTTATATTAATTTTTATACTGTTTTTAGATCCACTGATGATGACATTAAATTGAATGTCGAAACGTTTGGAATTAAAGATTATTTTATAAATTTTTGCCTTTTCTTTGTTTGATGTATCGCCTTCAAGAACTCACTCATATATATATATATATATATATATATATATATATATATATATATATATATGCCTTCATATATCGAAAAAACAAATTAGTTACATTTAAAAAATAAAATATATAAGGTTTTTGATATTAAGTATATCTCTTCTATGATTGATTTTATAAACTAAAGCATGAGTAGTTCTTAAATAATATAGAAACTTAATAAAGTTTTACTGAAATTAACAAATGAATAAAATATTAAAGTTTTTTTTATAAATTAATATATTTGTTATTAAAAAGAAATTTACATGTTGTTATATGCTATGGAAATTGATCGAGAAGTTCAAGAAAGAACTAGGCGTTTCCTTAGTAGGTTTCCTTGTGGTAGATGGTGACATCCTTGTAGTACATGTTAGGTGTGGGGAAAACGGTGACGTCAAGTTCGCGGTCGAAGGGATATCCCAAGGGCAAGCTGTCGACGTAACGGGCACCGGAGCCAACTCCGCAGGAGACAACAGGGTCGAATCCTTGGTATTGGGTGGTGGCAGGAGCGTGGTAGGGAGATACGACGAAGAAGAATTGGTATTCGATACCGCCCTTGGTACCTCTGGGGATCATCAGTCTTTCGGGGAAACCGCAGTGAGCTTCGGTGTTGTCGAAGTGGAATTCTCCTTGGCCGCTCAAAGCTCCCATGACTTGCTTGTAGAGGGTGTAGTGAGATGTGCGGTCCTTGACGAAGAAAGTATAGTCTTCGGATTTGCGTTCGACGACGTTCTTGCCGGATTTCAAATGGTATTTGAATACATCGACTTGGAAGAAGTTTTCGCGGTTCTCTTCGAAGCTGAATTCGTTGTGGTGTTCGTCGTATTTGGGTCCAATGAATACACGGACGACGGCATCGGTTTCTTTGTCGGAGACGACGTTCATCTTGTAGGTGAATGGTTTGTGGTTCAAACGTTCTTGGCTGACCTTAACGGGATGGTACACTTCCTTGTTGGCGAATTCTTCTTCGGAGTAAACCAAAGCGTTGCTGATGTCGTAAACGTATTTGTCGAAGTAGGTAACCAATTTGTCGAATTCAACACCTTCAATCTTGACACCTTGGAAGTCGAGTTCTTCGTGGGTGTAGCTGGGCAAGTGAGATTTGAATTGGTAGTAGTATTTGACAACCTTCTTGTACATTTGGTAGAAAGCAGGGTCGCGCATAGCGGTGTTGAAGCATTCCAAAGCGCTGGGGTATTGGTGGTAGTAGTCGACGGTGTCGAAGGAGTTTCCGAGGATGACCTTCAATACGCCGATGAAGCTCTTGTAGAAGCGGGTGTTGTAACTGTCGGGGTTGCTGTTGATCAAGTTGCCGAGTACGTTGATGGCCTCGGGTTTAGTCAAATCGAAGTGGCTGCCGTCGGGCAATACAACAAATCCGTAGTCGATAACATCACGGATGCGGCGTTCGTAGTCGTGGGCGTGTTGTACGTACTCGTGGTAGTATTCAGAGTAGTTGTAGATGTGTCCTTCGTGACGTACTGGGAAGTCCAATCCGTTGAAGTGGTGCATGGTGGGGTAGTAAGAGGTCTCGGAGACGTAGTCGTGAGATAATTCGGGGATTTCTCCGAATTGGTGAGATACGCGTTCCAAGTAGTAACGGGCCAACAATTGTTGGATGGTGAAGAAGTACAATTCTCCGCGACGGTCCTTGTTTAAGGTGAAATGTTCTCCTCCCATCCAGAAGGGGTAGTCCATGTGGAAGTAATAGTAGAAGGAGTTCAAGCCGACATCTTCGGTGAAGTAAGTCAATTCTTGTTCTTCGCTAGTTTGGACGTACCATCCGGAGTAGTTGGCGGGGATCACGACGTTTGTGTGGGTCTTCTCCATTTTGTGTTGATAGGCTTTGGTGATTACTTCGTAGTTGACGAAGTGGTGAGGGTAGATTTCGTAAGGAGCGGGCAATTCGATTCCTTGCAAATCGTGGCGGTGGAACACGGCTGCGGTCAAAGCGTAAACGAATTGTTCGGCGTTGACGTGGTCACGAGCCCAGACCATGGTCTTGTAGAAGGTCTCGAAGTCCTTGGCATAGTAGAATACGTTGAAGAGGGCGACGACTTCTTGGCGGTGTACGGTGTTGTACACGTTGAAGACGGCTCCCTTGGGGAGAAGTCCGTGTTTGTACAAGTGAACGAATTCCTTGACGGCGGTGGCGTTGGTGTAATGGTCGTAGTTGCCTTCGAATGTGTAGCTTTGTCCTACATTGTAGTGTTCGTCGTAGTGATCCTTTTGGAACACATGGTGCAATACTTCGAAGATGGCCTTTTGCTTGACCAAGGTCTCCTTGTCGACCACCTTGTATTTGCCATGGGTGGTTGGCACGAAGAAACCGCAAGCCACGGCAACTAAGGCGGACAACACAACAATGCTCAGGGCCCTCATGATTCGCTTCTAGTCGGATCTGTTGGACTGCACAATTTGCAGTATGCTTGAACTAAAACGAACTCCGTATTTTATACATTTTTTCTTATCACATCGTACTTCCAAATAAAATCATATATTTTCCACAAACAAATTAATACGCTATCATTTGAAAAAAAAAGATTTTAAATTTATATGTGCATTCATTGCATTTAGTTTATTAATCACAAAAGATTATAAAACCGGATTTTTATATCAACACCTTGACCCCATTTGTGACATTGATAAAGATATTCTTCATAAGTGTAACAAATACTAAAGTAAAATAATTAGTTGAAGTACTTAGTTAGTTTATTTCTCTTCACGTGTTAGGATAAGTTTAAATAATTATTGCACGGTTGAAAATTAAATAAATTACAAATATTGTGAGATTTGTTATTTTGCATCGATTATATTTCAATTTGCTATAAGGTGAACAAAAATTTATATTTATACTTTTTTCTATCTCAATTTGTGAACTAGAGATATTCTAACAAAAATATATATAAATATATAATAACTTATTCAATTTGTATCACTCTTCATCGTAAAATTTTTGAGAAATAAGGGACACGTTTTCTATCTGTACTTAACTATTTATTTAATTCTAGTATATAACTGTTGAAGTTCAGCATGTGCTATATTTTATGCTATGGCAAGTAAGATTTGAAAGTATAAGTATTAAGAAGAAATTTTTGAGGGTCTTTAAAAGGTCTTTATTGTTTTAAGAAATAAAACGTCTAAGAAAATATGCATTTTTTTTTCAATAATTTTTTTTAATGTATCCATAAATAATTATGATATTGATATTTTATTGTTTAACAATTGTTTTATCACAAAAAAACTATAGAATATTACATAAACACAGCACTTCATAATTTCATTTAGTTTGTTCATATAAAGCTGCCCAATTTGCTGGATGATTATAACCTAAAAGTATTGGTGCATGCAAAATAATACTGGCACTTGTTTTATTTGATAAATGACTAGAAACCATAAGCCACTGTCCAAGCCATTCCGTCATGGCTTGTCTCGATAATTGTGAAGCTTCCAATCCTCTAATAAAGCAACACATTCTGAGTTCCTCGTCAGATAATTTTGCTAAACCTCCTTCACGTATAATTGCTCTATCCATTAAGATTATAAGCCAGGCATGATCTATCAGGCGTGAACGACGAAAGAGTAGAGACTTCAAGTTATGAGCACTAAGAAGATGACTCTGAATTCAAAGTATGCAGTTTATTTTTATTATTTGTAAAAAAACACAGTTTTTGTGATTGCATATAAAGAAGAAAGTATTGAAAATATATTGGTAACCACAAAGTGAATACTTACCACATGATTTACATTAATTTTATTTATATTATAGGGTCCACTCATAAAAATATCTGCACATATTAAGACATCTTTAGGTGAAGGATGCACCCCACTTCCTAATCAAATTAATGCAAATATATAGAAAAAAAAATTATTTCAGTCGACTTTAATTTAGAACTGACCTAACATTCCTAATACGCCTTTCCACTCATTATATGATGCAGAGGCATGGATCTTATTTAACTCTGCCTGCAGAGATCTAAACACGGGTCGATTGTGTTTCAAACGCTTTTTTAATTTTTCAGCACGGAATTTCAACTTTTGCTCATTTGTCCAAAAATGATGTGTTAATAAGTAACCAGGAAAGTAATAACTGAGAAAATAGGAAGTACACTTACTACAGACTTAAGAATTAAAAAAAAAATCTTTTAAAACAAAATATTTTTCTAAAAAGAATAAAAAAGCTTTGAAGTTTGAACATTACTCTTATGATAAATATTTCCAACCAAAATATTGTTCAACAAGTTTTGTTATTTTCAATGTAGCGTTAATTTGATTTGTACATATCTTTTAATATGTTTTTTTTACCATATTTCATATATCATGTAAATAATTTTTTATCAAAAATTTACCGGCAATATGTTTATATATATATGCATATATATATATATATATATATATATATATATATATATATATATATATAAATGTACAATATTATAATTGTAATTTCAGTCTACTTACGCCACAGGAAGAACTATATATAAAGCAAAAGGTAAGGCTGACAGCAAAAGAACAGGAGCTGCCTTCCACATTTCTCTCGGCATGAAAAAATAAGTTTCTAATTCTTTACGAGATAAATCAGCTATAGTTTTTTCAGATCCTGTGATATTAAGTACTATCTGCAAAGCAAAGCATTATTATGTACTAATTTTAATTTTATATATCGTATCAATTTAATATATTATATGGTACCCTCAAATATTCTTTCATGTCTGCATAAAAATCTTTGACACCAAGCATAAAGAAACGATATGCTTTTACAGCTCCTGGAAATCGTTTTTCCACTACCTGCAATACATAATAAAATTAAGCACACAATGCTGATGTAAATGCACATAAGTGACATAAATAAGATTATTTATTTTGATTTCATTCAAAGCAGATATAATAAAAGTATTGAGGAATTCTCCCAATCATTCATATTACATGATTTTTTACTTTTTTAGAAGTTTGGAGCCCAAATTATATATATATATATATATATATATATATATATATATAATTACAAAGTATTGTTTTAGTGCAATTGAAAAAATATTATATGATTAACATAACCTGTTCATATTGTTTCACATAATCGAAGTATTTCGAGAACAAATAGCGGTTAATCTTCTTCGCTTTCTCATTTTTATATAATGGAGTTTTATGTACATCTAATGCAGTACTTGTAGTACCTATAAACCTGTAAATAATACCAAATATTAATTTTCATACATTACGACTTTGATAGTGCCTAGTGAATATACTTTGTTAAAACTCGATTAGTTTCAAATATGTTGATACTCGAACGTAAGTGAAGATTACGAAATAAAGCTAAACACATAATTATTTATAAAAGTTACGACATTACATGTTAAATTAAAGTTATGTTTATTAAATTGCGCGCACTTGCAATATTTCTTATTTCATACGAGATTGACATTTGTGCTGTCATTGATACTTTGTTATTAGATACGCGCGCGTCATTCAAATAAATAAAATAGGTGTCAGTGGAATTTTGCGTTAAGGCAAGTTGTATAAACAACCCGATATGTGCAAAGAATCTTTTTAATAAACTATAGTTGAAAGTGGTAATTAGCCTTAAGGCATGTTGCATGAATTTGCCGAAATGTGTAAGAATTGACTTAATCACAATATTTAGATAAAAATATCAAATGATGGCAATCGCTGCCAACTTTGAAAAATTGTCATCCCTCTGTCATCTTAGGAGAAGTTAGCTGCGTATACAAATTTGACATTTCGAATTTTAGGTTAAAGAGAGTGTTTATAAACATAGTTTAATCAATTTACAATAAGTTTTGCTACGTTAATTTTATCTGTTAGTTTTAATAAATGTGAATTAATGGATAGTAGTAGCATTATGACAGACAGCCTACCCTTTGAACTAGAATACTACTCATCAGACCTTCATCGAAATTTTTCGGTTTTTGTTTTGGGAAACAACACATGTCGTGCTTGTTTAACTCAAGATGAAGAAATGCAATCGTTATTTCCAGCAGAAGAATTATGTTCTTCACAACAACAGAATGATTTATTGAATATGTTTCTCTCTTGCACAGCCCTTGATGTATCTTATGACGACCCTTACCCGAAACATATTTGTAATGGTTGTTTCAGTGAACTAATTGAATCTTATAGCTTCTGGATGAAATGTAGGCAATCAATCGAGCAATTGGATAGTTTAACTGAAAGTACAGATTTATTAAGCGACGATGTAAATGATTTAAATTATAATATTAATGAAACCGAGTTTTCTACAATAAATGAAGAAGAATCTTATTTAAAGTTTGATTTGGTTCAAGATAATGATGATGAAACAGAATATAAAAATGAACAGGTACCTATTTCCTCAAATACTGATGACAACGAGGATATTGATGATTATATAAAGTTTTCAAGCTCAGTAGATTTAAATAGTTTCAATATTATTTCTGCAGAACTTGGTTCATGCATTCCAAAATCATCCCATAAACCACAATGTCATCAATGTCAATTATCATTTTCTGATAGAGCAGAATATAAAAAGCATTGGCAAAAAAATCATCGAAGGCAAGTACAAACAAATTCAAATCATTCAAAAAAAATTGAAGCCATAGATGAACCAACCGCTGAGAATGAATCATTTGCAGAGAAAGATCAAGATCATAATTATGAATGCCAGGAACTAGTTTTTCCACAAAATTCTGAAACAGAAATAGAAAAGTCTGAAGACCAAACGAGCCCAATGTTGCAAGATCGTCTTGATAATTCACAACAAAATTCAAGATTAAATGATCGCATAAACTTTCTTCAATGTTCACCAGATTTGAATAGTTTTGTAGACATTCCTGACTCTTCTTCACAAAATTCTTTTCGACAGCCCAGGTGTCACAAGTGCCAAATGTTTTTCACCAATAGAACAAAATATAAAGTTCATTGGAATAAATATCACAGTAAAAATTCTCAATTACGGTCTGGTTCAGAAAAATCAGAAACATCACCTCGTAAACCTGCTTGTCGAAAGTGCCAGTTGTTCTTTCCTAACAAAGCTGAATATAAAAAACATGCAAAGATCCATAACTTGCATTTATGTCCACAGTGTGGACATGTCAGCAAATCTAATAGTGCCTTGAGAGAACATTTTACAACGCATACAAACTTGCGTCCTTATAAATGCACTATATGCAATAAGACATATAAGTCAGCTACTAATCTTAATGTTCATAAAAGCACTCATATTGGTGTGTTAAAATATGCTTGTCAACACTGTGATAAAAAATTTGTTACTTGGGCATCAAGATTTAGTCATATAAGGACACATCATACTGTTTATGACAAACATATTTGTGAGATATGCTCTAAAGGTTTTCCTGATGCCAATAAGCTTCGCATTCATATAAGGTTTCATACAGGTGAAAAACCTTTTGCTTGTGAAGATTGTGAGATGGCTTTTAAATCTAGTGGTGAGCTAGTTAAACATAAGCTTAAACATTCTGGTATTCGCAATTATTCTTGTACAGAATGTGGTAAACGATTTTTAACTTCTAAACATGTCAAGCAACATATGGTTGTTCATACAGGGGAACGTAAATATAAATGCGAAATCTGTGGAAAAGGTTTCACACAATCACATGTGTTGCGTAGTCATCTGAAAATACATGAAAGGCAAGCATTAATAGATAATGATCTTCATAATGATGAAATGTGACTTATTTAATTTAAATTGTATAAAATATTAATATATGTATATAATAAATAATTGATCTCTGAATTTAATGTTTTACTGGTCAATATTATATAGTTGAAAACAAATTAAATATTTTTTTAAAAGAAAAAAGGAATAAATTTTAATAGATTTTAATATTTAAATATTATATTGCTTATTGTCAGATATGAAATTTATTTAAGTTACTTGAAGACATGAATAAAAAAGGATTTATTAATAAACAGAAACAGCGATGCTGCTGAATTCATCCAAACGCGATCTAAGGTAAATTTTATTTTTTTTGTCGACTTTCTCGCATCAATAGATTAATTATAATGTATTTAATGTATGTACAATTTATAAATATATTGATTGTTTTTAACATATCAAACTGAAAATTGTTTCAAAAAAGTTTCATTTAAATTTAAATAACAAAATATTTGTAAACGCATTTAATAAGAATTATTATTGACCCTAGAATAGTATATTGGTAAATTATAATTTACATATATACACTATTCTACGTAGAATAGTTCTAACCGTCTTTATGCAGTTAAAGCAGTACGATTGCTTTGAAAAAAAAGTTCATAATTTTCCAAATATTTCAAAATAAAGAAAACTGGAGCGATTTACATGACGTCGTTGATGATGCTTCGATAGTGGACTGTAATTTGTATTAATCGACGAAATGCAAAATCCCCACGATGATTGTTTTAGAAAATGAAACTTCTCTTATATTCAACTTAATTTTATTTTATACTATTTTACAAACTTCCTTCTCCTTTGACTGCTAACGCTAGACTAACTATTTTTTGAATTCCAGGCCCGACGGAATACATTTTACAATCTTATTTTATAACCTAATTACATGAGCCGTCGAACCTGGGCAAGATCGTTCCCTATTTATGGGATTAACAAAATTTTCCTGACCGTTGTATGTAATAATATTTTACAATTTTACGGAGACGTTTACACCAGATGTTTTAGTTTAAAAAATCATCCAAAAACATTTCTTAAAAAAAAGTAAATTTTGGTCAAAAATTCAAAGTAATTTTTTTCTCAAAAATGTTAATCTTAAAAAAAAAATTGGTACGGGAAGTTCCAGCAATTTGTCTTAAGGTACGATACCATGCGCCCCATTAGTTTTATTTATTAGGCTGGCTTTAAAAATAATAACAAATATATTAATGAAATTATGAATTATCTTTCACACTCAGGTTTTTTTTTTCAAAAGAATAATAATTATTAGATGCTTTTAAAAAGAATAATAGTTGTTGATTTTGAATTAGATGCTGAAACAAAACTATAGATACTACAATGCTAAGAGATGCATGATTTTTGATCAAATATATTTTATCAAAAACCATCATATCTCTTCGCCTAGTAGTATTTATATAGTATTTTTTCAACAAATTCAAAATTAATAATTATTGATGATATTCTTTCTGAAAGTATATAATAATTCTTTATAAAATGCCAAAAAAAAAAATTAAAAATAACTTTAACGACATATTAAAAAGCAAAGATTATTTTGAAATTTTTTATTTTAAGATATATCGATATTACTTTGTAATTATCAGTGATATGTACACATATATTGATACATTTATGTATATTAATTAACATAATTATGTAAATATTTTAATTTTTATAACTATATGTACTTAATTAAGATGCAACTTGCTTCCGCACCACCCATGAGGTGAAGTTGCTCGGCGCGTTTTTTTTAATGTGGTGTCGCCACAGAAATAGATACTTCTATTCATATTTACGTTTCTAACATTTCAGATGGAAATGGATATAGTGTAAATACTACTAAGTATCGATTTGTGCAGCCCTAATCCACTTAAACTAACTTATAAACTAATTATACCTAACTGACCCGAATATAACGCGAATAGAACCCCCGCGAAATGAGCTAAATGTACCTAAAAATTTCGGTTTTTAAAAATGAAAGAACCTCTCGTGGCGAAGAAGAAAAAAATGAATATAAAATGTGTACTTTAATATTTTAGCGGTGATTGTAAATTTATAAAAAAAAGAGCATTTACATGATGTACCCCCCAGATCCACCATGTAAACACTTGGAAAAAAAAACTTCATAGGTTCCCAGCCTATGAAGTTTAAGGACAAATCATTTTGTGATTTGTAATTATTAATTGATTAATGTGAAGAAAAGCGCGAAAAATGTAAGAAAGGTTCTTTCACGACGCCACCCTTTTGAGCTCTGAATAAAAGCACGCAAACAACCCCAAAAAAGTACGACCAAAGATTTTAATGTCAAAACGCCCCCTAACCTGATATTAACTAAATATTACTATAATACAATAATATAATATTATAACTATACAATAATAATAAAAAGTCTTATCTCACAGTTAATTTCCCTTTTGATTAATATGTCATATCTTCCAATTCAGTTGTAGGGGTTGTAGGCGTGTAGTGGTGCTAGTTGATTTTGAGTATACCATTTTCTATTTCAAATCTCGTGTAAGACCTAAAAAGAGGTAAACATAGAATTTTATCACATTTATTCGTATGGGTCGTAGAAGTTATTCTTGATACCCACCTGCATATATCCTTTAATTCGGTAGTGGTCTTTTGGTGGTTCGTGTATATCTTGGTAAGACCTACAATACAATGTTTTCTTGGAAAGACATCTGAAATGAAAAAAAAAACACAAGTGCCCCTAATAGGGACGAACTTACAAACGGGGCCCCGGTTATATTAATAAAAGAATATATATGGTTATAACTAAGGTCTAATTAACAATAATACGATAAAAACCTCTACATATGCATATCCTCCTGGCAGTTATTTGGAAGTGCTGGTGCTTTGTGGTGCGAAAAGAAATTAATTATGTAATCCTGAAATAAAAAGTGGTTTAAAAAATATAAAGAAAAATGATTTATACATATTACTTAGCAGTATGCCAATAATTTTAGTGTCTTGGTACATCGATTAGTCTGACCAATTTTCTTCTATGGGTTGTGGTTGGTACTCGCTTGCACATATCTTTCTATTCGGTAGAGGTTTTTTGGTAGTACCCGTATGCTTGGTAAGCAATTTTTTGGAAAGATATCTGAAATGAGAAACAAAAAAACACACAAGTGCCCCTAAAAATAGGGACGAACATACAAACGGGGCCCCGGTAACAAATAAAAATATTATATACTTATATCTAACTAAGGACTAATTTCTTAATATTAACTTATGAATACGAGAAAACCTGTACATATCCATATGGAGGTGAACTGAAAGGGTTAAGGGTACTCTTGTTAGAGTATAATAATTGCTATTTGGTATGTTTAGCATCTCACTCCCCAATATGAAGGGTTTAACTTAGCGCCCTAATTCGATTCAACAAAACCTGCAGTTTTCAGTGGAGATTTTAACTAACTACACGACTAAAACAGAATCTACTTATCAAATTATTTATTGTTACCGAGTTATGTTTATAGATCCGAGAGCTTGACTGCACTCATGTATAGTGATGCCTGAAGCCTAAATTCGAATGTACTAATGATTGGGTATAATTATAAAGCTAGAAACAATTAAAAATGTATAGAGCGGCGTAATTACGAAGAGGAAAGCTTAAAATCGAAAAACTCGGATTTTTCGAGATCGTGTTCCTTTTTCCTGGTACAACATACCATCACTATGCACTAACTAAGTGAGGGTGGCCTGTGTGCTACGTACTGGATTGACCACCTAAGAGGACTAATATTAAAAAACGATCGCGACTCCGGACCTCATACTATAGGAACCTTATAGGCAGGAGGTGATTTAGTTTGCACTAAGGGTTGTGCAACTCCCTGGAAATGATGTACGATGGCTTTATAGAACGCAAACACTTGCGACTCTGGACCTCATACGACAGGAACCATATAGGCGGGTGACGGATGTAGTTTGCACTAAAGGTTGTGCAACACTTTGGAAAGATTGCATGCTGTCGTTACAAAGTCGCAATCATTTTTTAAGTATCAGTCTTTTGAGGTAGTCAATCGAGTCAGTAGGACGCAAGCCTCCTGGCAGTTAGTGTATAATGGTGCGTGTGTTGTTCCATGGGCGAAGAACACAATCCAGAAAAAGTGAGAGTTCTCCGATTGTAAGCGATTCCCTTTGCCATCACGCCGTATCATACACATCTATAATTTCAAGCTTCGTGATCAACCAAAACAATAGTATATCAGAATTTAGACTTAAGACATGGCTACAAAAATACTGTCATATCTTCGCACCTACGACGAACACAATTAGGTAATATTAAATAAGTTAATAAGTATAGATGCTATTTCATTCGTGTAGTTACGCACTCTACAGATAATTACCGGTTTTTACTAAAAGTCAGATTGGGGCGCTAAGGTCAACCCTGTATATTGGCAAATGCAATGCTAAAATGTACCAAATAGCATTCATTGCACCCCAAAAAGGGTACCCTCAACCCTTTCAATCCACCACGATCTCCTGGCGGTCATCTGGCAGTCCTGGTGCTTGCCGTCGCGGTGAGAAATTAACTCCTGTAACACTGAAATGAAAAGTGACTTGAAACAAATGAAATAGACAAAGACTTACAAATACTATTTGGTAGCCTGCCCGTATTCATTCCAGTGCTGTGGTACATCATATCGGTACACATGCTCTCCTGCTCGTTGTAGTATTCAAACTCCTGGTACCTTTAGTTGAGGCTCTAAAATAAATGTTAATTTTATTATTTTTTTTACATAATTTAGGGTTTTGTATCATCATACCTTTTTTTTAACTTCAAACAGTACGTCTTTAACGTTTCTCCGGTTAGGAGACTTATTGTGCAATCACAACAAATTTAAATTTTTTAATTAAAATATGTTCATTGCATTACAGCAGAAAAATCAGTCAAAATACAAACAAGTAATTTATTTACCAAAGTTTTTAAATTTTTAGACGAGTTATTTACATCGATGCTACTAATAAAATAATTCCAAAAAATTAAACATTGTACATTATAGGTACACATATTACTA